AAAAGGGATTTAGTTTATTTAGCAAAGCATTTATTCTTGTTAATTATTTTGTATGTTTTTTTTAATATACTTATATAACCGGGACATCATAAGAGAATTATAGATATAAGGCAAAGACGTTTTCATTAGGGGAATTGAGTTTGTGAAGGGGAGCCTATTCAGGAGACGGAGAAACCACTTAGGAAGGTTTTAAGGAAGTGAAGAAGAGGGGAAATCTCCAGGGGAACAGGAATGGAATGGAGAAAAGAGTAGCGTTGAACAAAACACACAGTACAAACAGACAGAACAGGGACAAACACAGAAGACAGGGAAGAGGGCGAGAAAGGAAAGTAATGTGGATAAGGGGGGGGAGGTAGGTCGTAGGCTGTTACAGATGCTTAGTGGCACGAAGTAGGAGCCCGCCAGGGCAGATATTAGATAGACGCGGGGTGGTCTTTGTAGGGGGCGCAAGAGGGGAAAAGAAGGGACATGCGTTGGCAGGGCGAAGAAGTGAGGGGAAAAATAGAAAATATTGGGGGCAAAGAGGAAGGCGGCTGAAATGGATGGAAAAGAAGAAGATGGGGAAGGTTAGCAGATGGAAACTGGGGAAGAGGCAGGGAGAGAAGCAAGGAAGAAGAAGTAGAAGTAGAAGTAGAAGAAACAAGAAGCAAGAAGCAAGAAGCAAGGAGGAGGAAGAGGAGGAGGGACATGGAGTAAAGAGAAACACGGAGAAAGGAATAACAGTGAGATTCGATATTAAATAAAATGTATATATGTAATAAGACATGAGAGGAGAGAAGCGAAGAGAGAGAGATATGTCGTTAAATTATGATTGGATAGGATCAAGAAACATACCGAGTGGGAGCTGAGACACCCGTCGGCTACTAATAAATGCTGGCGATATATAGGTGTTAATTACGAAATAGGAGAGGAAAGAGGAGAGGATGAGGAGAGGAGAGAGAGAGAGGACAGAGCGAGAGGAGAGGAGAGGAGAGGAGAGGAGAGAGAGGGGGAGGAGGAGGAGAGGAGGAGATGAATGAAATATGGAAATTGGAGTGGATGTTGGAGGTGTGGGTGGAGGCGCGCGTGATGGAAATGGAGATGGGGATGGAGAACTAGAGGAAAGAATTAGATAGGTAAATGAATTTTGTGAATTATAAAATAACATGAATATATAATGTATATATGTCGCATATTGTGTGTGGTGTTGTGTGCTGTAGTGTGATTGTGTGTGTCTGCTGTGGTGTTGTGTTGTGTGTGTGTTTAATTAAGGAGGATATTGTAAAAAAAAGTAACGGGGGGAAGACAAAAACAGCCTCCCGGATGGATGACGTCCTGCGATGTCCTCCGCCCGAAGAATGCTAACCGGCCTCCCTCGCGCCGCCCGCCGCTCCGTCCCGCGCTGACGGAGGCGGCCAAGCGCGGAGGCGGCGGCGGAGGCTCTCGGGGTCCGTTTGTTTAGGCCTATGGCGTCGGGGGGTCTTTTTGTACTGGTATTTATCGATTGCTGTCGGTGGTGTTGGTGTTTTGTCATCATTGGTATAGTTATTATTTTTGGTTTTTAGTTGTTGATTATTATTACTGTTGTTGTTATTAGTAGTTATTGTCATCAAAACGACTCCGCTGTCGTTATGAAAAGAATATATCGCTGTTATTTATTGAATGTTGTATTTATCACATTATCATGGTAAAATTCGTACAATTGCTGTGCCAGAAACTTCGATTAGCGTAGACCCGGCCGCGTCCTGGGATAGGCCTATTTCCTTAACACGCGCGTGGATCTGGTCAGTGAGACCTTCCCAGCGCGTGGACCCTTCGCTTCGCCGACCTCTGACCTGATCTCAGTGACCTTCAAACCAGGTGTTAATGCATGCCACCCCTGCCCCCCCCCTACTCTCTTCCGCCCCTCATCGTTTTCTTTTCCGTTCCTCCGCCCCCCGCTCCACCTCTCGGCTCTTTTCTTCCTCCTCCCCCGTCTTCCCCGGCGCTCTTACCCTCCACCCGTCCCTCCCCTCCTCTCTTCCATTCCTCCACCCCCTCCCCTCCCCTCCCCTTCTCTCTTCCTCTCCTCTACCCCCTCCACTCCTCCACCCCCTCTGTTTCACTATCCACGTCCTACCTCCTCTACCCCTTCACCCGTATTCTCTCTCCTTCCTCACTCTCTCTGCTCTTCTCTTCCCTCTCCCCTCACCCTCTCTTCCCTCTCACCTCATCCACCCGTCCCCATTTCACTCTGTCTCCCATTCCTTGTCACCACCTCCTCCTCTCCCCCCCTCCCTCACTCTCCCCTCCCCCCCCCCCTCCCCACACTCTCCCCTCTCCCCTCCTCCCCTCCTCTCCCCCTCCCCTCCCCCTCCCCTCCCCCTCCCTTCACTTTCCCCTCACACTCCCCCTCCCTTCACTCTCCCCTCCCCCTCCCCCCCCCACCCCTCCTCCCAGTGGACTGGATGCTGCATCTCTTTCGGCTCAGCTCTCGGGGGTCACGGATTTTATCTCTCTCCTCTCGGCCTTTGTTGCAGGTATACAAGGTCGCTGACCCTTCGTCGACGGCGGCCGGAGTCGATACGGCCTGGCTGGGTGGGTTGGCCCGGCCGCTTCCTTCCTTCCTTCCTTCTCAAGCAGTCCGCCGCACGCGCTCTTCCTCTCTCTTTTTCTCTTTTTTTCTTTCTTTCTTTCTTTTTTTCTTTCTTTCTTTCTTCTTTTTCTTTCTTTC